ACTTAAAATACTCAATCTTGAAAATTAACTGAAAATAACTGATGAGGGATATTACAAGTCGAGGGCCATCGCGATGTGAACGGATGCGGACGGGTCTGCCGGCGCCGGGCAAGAGTCGGTGTTGCGGAAAGCCGGCGCCTCGTGGAAGGGCGGCGTCTGGGGTTGTACTGCGGCGGAAGGCCGTGGTGTTGGGAGAAGTAGAAGGAGGAGGGTGGTGGTTAGGAGGCGCAGATCAAGTGGCATGGTGAAGATTAAGGGACAACTTTTTTGTATGAGACCTCTCAGGAGTCAGAAGTGTCATTACTCATTAGAGTCAGACAAGAGATTGAAATTTGGATTACTTTGGTCAATGTCATTTATGCCCCTTTCAAATAATTATTCTATATTGTATATCTGGTAACATGGTGTAGTCTGCTTCAAGTATTGATTCTGCTTTTTCTATACAAAAAAAACAAACAAAAAAAAAAGCTCCGTTTTATCTTGTAATTGTTATAATCAAGTGGAATTTTACCACTATTAATTGCCAGATGCATTTACTTACACAAAAAGGGTGACAAAATCACATGTTGCAGCTATAAATGCCCCTACTCGAATTGAAATTACAAAAGAAATGGCAAATGACGATGTGCCCAATGAACTAAAGGCACGATTGAAACGAGGAAGACCAGTGGGGTCTAAAGATAAGAATCCTTGAAAGAAAAGTGAAATTCAAGATTAGAATTTGAAAAAGAATCAAGATGATGGAAAAATTTCGGAACGAAATGAAAATATTGAAATCTCCATCAATTACGTAAATAATGGGAAACTTTAGAAGCGTGATGAAATCATTGATGATGCATTTGCATATATGGTATCACAAGAAATTGACAAAGAAGTTAAGGATCCTGAACCAAAATCTATGATTGAATGTCAGAAAAGACATGATTGGGACAAGTGGAAAGGTGTTATTCAAGCCGAGTTAAATTCGCTTAATAAACGAAAGGTTTTTGGACCTATAACCACTATACCCAAAGACATAAAACCTATTGGGTACAGATGAGTTTTTGTCATAAAAAGAAATGAGAAAAATAAAATCACAAGATATAAAGCTCGCCTTGTAGCACAAGGATTCTCCCAGAGGCCTGGAATCGATTATGATGAAACTTATTCCCCTGTTATGGATGCAATTACTTTCAGATACTTGATTAGTTTGGCCATCCATGAAAATCTTGAGATGCTTCTTATGGATGTTGTGACTGCTTACTTTTATGGATCGCTAGACGCTGACATTTATATGAAAATTGTAACACCCCACCTTATCGTCAAATCAGAGCGCGCAATAATTCGCAAAGTCTTTTAAAATAAAGCCTTTTAAATTAAAACTCTTTTTACTTTGCGAAAACTGATTCGGGGTGCTACCTTTCAAAATCGTTACTTAACTTAGAAAAACCGTTATTTTAGTTTTAATAAAACATCCGGTTACTGAAATCATGAGTTTCTTTAAAA